GCCAACCAAAATGCACAATATACTTGTTGCAAGCTTTCAAAGCTCCATCTCTCTGTGCCTTCAAGTTGCCTGTTGACTTACGGCAACCCCATGAATTTCATAGGATTTTCTTAGGCAAAGAATCCTCAGAGATGGTTTTGCCACTTCTCCCCTCTGAAATATAGCCTACAGCATCTGGTATTTGTTGGTGGTCTCCCATCCAAGTACAAAACAGGGCCAACCCTGCTTAGCTTCCAAGATCAGACAAGATCTAGTTAATCATCAGTGCTTATTAGACCACCTTTCTTGGACTTTTGCTATGGACATATTTATCGTACACTACAGACTTATTTTTATTCTTACACCTGTTTAATTGTCATAGTCTTTCACACATAAACACATACACACAGACACACACCGGAAATTATAGTTCAGCATGGCCAGTTGCAAAAAATAAACAAAGAAAACCAGGATGGGGCCCTTAACACAGTTGTGAACAGTTGTGTAGAAGGGGGAATTTCAGGATGCATTGGGCCAGGGAAGCTACATCTGCTTGTAGTTTATTTTCTGTATAAACTACTGAAGCACATGTGCCCTGTCCTCATTAACCTATTGTACTTAATGAGGGAACTACAGCCATTCCTACAATTCAGCAGGATGAAGGGACCCATTTTAAGTGGCATCATGGAAGGGTGATGGGGGGAACAGATAGAAGTCAGAAATGCTGTCATTGATTCAGAGAGAGCTTTTTAATGTTTGGCCTTAGTAGACTAAACTAGATGTAGATGTACTGGGGTCAGGTAGCCCTGTGAAAAAGGGGAGTAGAACTCTTTTTCATTTGACCTGAAAGCATGACATACTTCTTGTTGGTATTGATGTTGTTGCTGTGTGCCTTCAAGTAATTTCCACCTTACGGAGACCCTAAGGCAAGTTATCACAGGGTTTTCTTGGCAAGATTTGTTCGGGGGGGTGGGGTGGGGGGTGTTGATTTTTGCTTTCCTCTGAGGATATATTTTGTTGTTGTTGTTGTTGTTGTTGTTGTTGCTGTGTGTGTTCAAGTTGTTTCCAACTTATGATGACCTTATCATGGAGTTTTCTTGTCAAGTTTCTTCTTCAGAGGGTTTTTTGCCATTTTCATCCTCTGAGGCTGAGAGAGTGTGACTTGCTCAAGGTCACCTACTCCATGGCTGAGTAGGGATTTGAAACCTGGTCTCCAGTTCTCAAACCATTACACCACACTGACTCTCTCTCAAGAATATATTACACCCAATGAAATTCCCTGTTCTATGGATCTATCTGCTTTTTCATGTGGCTACCTGAACTGGGGTTCCAGTTCTCACACCAAAATGTTTTAGGGCAGCACTGATAGTTCCCAGATATTTCTAAAGATTGAACTATACATTTACTAAATT